CCCTTCTACTTGGCAGTAATATTCTACTCCCTCTCATAACCTAAAATAAACCATGCATTTTAATTAGTGACAAGTTTTAATTAGTTTGTAATCAAGAATCAAGAACAAATTTGTTTTATGTACCAGGAGGGGTAGGTTAGCCAAGAGGACGATGGACTGTGTTTGTGTTTTTATTTGGAGTCGGCTTAGGCTTAACAACTACCTTCCATCCTCCCAAGTCACTTCCACTAAGTCCAAGAGCCTTCTCTAATGCGCCATCTCCCAATATCGAAATAAAACCGTACCTGTCAAAAAAAAAAAACGAGTATTTTTTTTAGTTATGTGGGAGAAGCTTATTCACACAAGCAAGCAAATTGGAGGAAGAGGCGACAAATTAACCTGCTGAGAAGACTTGGTTGACGATATTCTCGCTCGATACTCACATATACGATCTCTCCACATGAACGGAAATGTTCAAACAATGCACTCTTAACATAATCCTCATCAAGCGAAGTGTCATATCCCGTAACCAAAAACCCAGAGGGACTGCAATAATAACAAAATGCGTATCATCAACAACAAAATATAATCTCCGGAATTAAATAACAAATTCAATTTTACCTACCTGTTCAGGACTAAACTCGCACACTTTTTTTGGTAAAGCCTTAACAATTACATTCCATCCTCCCACGTCACTTCCACTAAGCGCCACCGCCTTCTCTTGCGCGCCTTCTTCCCGAAAATATATGAAACCAACTCTATAGCAAAAAAAAGGAAAAGAACAACTTGTTAGCTAGCTTTTAAACTAGCTGAGTTGCATGGGAAATAGAAGCCACAAACAAACCTGTCGATGACGGCATGGGTTTTAAGGTCTGTGGGAATATCGACATCGCAGATTTGTCCACATGAACGGAAATGATCCATCAATGCCGCTCTGATAGCATCAGGATGAAGGGATGTGTCGTATCCCTCAACCGAAACCCTAGTGCACCTGAAATCATAATAATTTGCAACTCAAATCCTCAACGCAACAACACATCTTATTCTTACGTATACAAAAATCTCCATCAATTTACCGGCTTAAGGTATTGTACTCATGGAGGACATTCGCAGCAGCCACACGATCCGCAAAAGATTTCAATTCCATCCCCTAAAGTACCACACATCTAATCAGAAATTCTTCTAACTCAAATAGACAAACATAACCAAGTAAGGATAAAGAGAAGAAGAGATTACTCGGAGGTTGCTATTGTACTCGTCCATAGAGAAGTTGAGAAGATGCAATAACCCTAGAGATATTCTTCAGTTTTAGGGCTTAATTGGGATTTGGGAAAGAAAGAGTAAACGAAAAGTAATCTTCAGTTTTAGGGATTTGGGAAAGAAAAACGATAAGTAATCTTCCCTTCCCGTTTCTTATACACAGATTTTGGGCCTCCAATGGGCCTCAGACTATATTCTTAGAGGAAAATTGCTTTACTTTTTAGTTTTTACCCTTTATAGAAGTTAGAGAAGGAATTTGATTCAAACTGTGCAAGGGAAGTTACTCATACCACAAAAGAAAAAAGTAAAATTTCCACATGCCAAAGTGTGAAAGAGCCTTTGTTTTATATTTATGAGGTATAATTAATTCGCAATAGTTTGTTTTGTAGTTATCTTTGTGGTTGTAGTGAATTTAGACTAGTTTATTTTGGTTTTAGAGCTGTATCAATTCTTTCTTTGGTGTATACAAAAGAGAAAAAACAGAGCTATATATTATTAATTTATTATTACTAAATAGAATAGAGAAACCCTTTTAACAATTCAGTTCAAGGCTTTTTTTTTTTGCTAAACAAATTCAGTCAAGACTTTGAAGATTACAAAGCGTAATATGAAAGTATTTATAGAGAAAGAAAAAAAATGGTTTTGAGTTAAGGGCAAGTAATTTTCCTTTTCACTTTAAGGCCAACCAAGTTGAAGGCTAAATATAAAAAAAATGTAAATGTATAGATAATGATTTTTGTATACCGAATTCAGATACGCCTCATAGTAGATAATGATACTATTAAAAATTAAGACAAACAAACGTCATACATATTATATAATGAGTTTACTACTTTACTTTACAATCCAGA